ATGTTTATTACATGGTGACGATTGTCCGGTATTGTTTCATTTTTCATTTTTTTTTCTACAAATCGGAATGACCTGAAATTTGGAATGTGTGTATATCTTAGTGATGCGCACCTAATAAAAATACAAAAAAAATAATTTATAAAAAAAGAATTGACCAAAATACCCCTTAAAATCATTGTTCATTTTCGTCTATAAGAGTTTTGCAGAATCTTCATATATATATATGGAAAATGACTATGTGTGCCAGTGGGCTCACAAGAAAAAAAGAGCCCAACGGTCTAGAGTGAATCTTGGCCAATCTGACGATCACAGATGTTTGGTAGTGTTTGAATTTTAATTTTTTTTTCTAGAAATCCAAATCACTTGAAATTTTAGATATGTGTTATTCTCATCAAGCCGCATCTAATAAAAATATAAAAAAAATAAGCTACAAAAAAGACCAAAATCTTGACCAAATTCCAGATGAACACACGCTCCTATTTTTATAGTTTTATTAGATTCTCCTATTTTTGATGACCACACGCTCCAAATTTCAGATCATTACGATTTATAGAAAAAAAAAATGAAAATTGAATCACTACTGAACAATCATGACCGTACGATGAATTTTGGACGGTAATGAGTATAGGTGAAATCGCTATTTATTTTCGCCTATAAGCTTTGGGAAGAGTTTTCCTATATATATATATATATATATGGGAAAACTTTTTATGGTCCCCTTATAATATAGAAGTTCTAAGTTCCCCCCACCATCCAGCCCTCCATTTTTTATCAAGAGAGCCACTCACTATTTGATCTTATATCCGATGTCTCAAAGTATTTTATTTTTAGTTTTTTTAATACAATTTTTTTTAATATGAGATTTTGTACATGCCATCTTCTCAATGGGATGCACCTATAAAAAATATTAACAATATTTTTTAGATAAAAAATGACCAAAATACCCCTTAAAAGTTTTATTTTATTTTATTGAAATATTTTTTTTATATTTTTCTTTAGTGCGAGTTTAATATAGGAATGGACGTCAAAATTTTGGTGTCAAAACTGTTTATAAAAAAAAAATAAAATAGTGTAGAGACATGACATTGTGATTGGGACAATGTTAGCCCTCCATTAAAAAATGGACGATTGGATAAGGGGAACATAGAACTTCTATGTTATAAGGGGAACATAGAAAGCTTTCCCTATATATATACGATATTCTGACGGGCTTACCGTAGAGAATACACCCAACAACCTAGATTGAATGTGGGCCAATCTGACGCTCACAGATATTCAATAGTATTTGAATTTTAAATTTTTTCTATAAATTGGATTGACCTGAAATTTTTTTTCCCTGTGTTCATCAAAAATAGGAGAATCTACAAAAAAATATCAAAAAAATATTTTACATGAAACAAATTGACCGAAATACACCCCGAAACCTTTCAAGGGTATTTGGTTAATATTTTTCATTGTAAAATATTTTTTTGATATTTTTCGTAAAAATTTTTTCAGATCAATCCGATTTGTAGAAAAAAAATTAAAATTAAAATACTATTGAATATCTGTGAGTGTTAGATCGGCCCAGATTCAATCTGAGCTGTTGGGCGCATTCTCTACGGTAAGCCCATGGCTGTGCAAGAGTTTTTTCCATATATATATATATATAAACAAGCTTGGGACACAACTTTTATCCTCAATAATAGATAATATTTTATTGTAAAACAATAATATATTTTATTATTATTTATACTAAAAAGTTGCAGTAGAGAACGCGGTCCCCACCTTGTTTTCGGGCATAGACTCGGCGAAGAGGGATACATAGAGAAATGGGTCATATCGAATTACTATTCAGGGGAGAGCCAGGCCACAAGACCCTCTTTTGCTAGAATTGCTGGCAGAACTGGCTCTTGGCACGGTTGAATCCGAAGTCTGTAAGGAAATTTTGAATTCGGGGTCGAAAAGGGGGAGATTTCAAAATTGTTTCATGCCGAAAACAAACAAAAGAGAAAAAGAATTCGGGATGTGAATAATCTAAAAAATAAAAATTTCAAAATACAACTCTTTGTGTATTAGACAAAACTAAGCCTCAAATTGAATGAAGATTCTCGAATATTTGAATGGCTAGATCTAAGTGTCGTAAAATTCAGAATTTTAAATTTTTTATTTGAAAGAGAATCATCTAGTAATATGTAGTTTCTCAAATTTTTAGGCTAAAAAAATTCTTTAAACAAGAATTTTGAGCGAGAGACTGATACACAGTATGCTCCAACAGGAGCATAGTACATGCGCCCCCTATTTACTCCCTGTGGTCACCACACGACACAGATAAGTTTAGAACCATTTTTCCAGAGAGAGAGTGTGTGCATGTGAAGAGAGAGTTTCCGTCCACTGCCATGGCGAGTCATTCCAAACCCTAAATATTTCAGCCATGGCAAATTCCATCAAACACTAGTTTTGAAGTAATGGCTGCAATAGCCACTTGTTTCACTGTAGCACCAAAAGACCGCCATTGCACTCGCTTCTCTTTCTATCTCAAGTCCCCAGTTATCTGTTGTCACCCTCATCTACGTATCCCATTTTGCATGGACAATTCAAAGCTTAAAAAGACTGGGGCTTTGGTTTGCAGAGAGTTGCAGAGGTTGAGGAGTTCGACAACCATTTGTAGAGCTGGACTTGAGAGTGTCCGGCCTGGTAAGAAAGTGGAGAGCGATGGATTGGCATCTGATGTGAGGAACCGAGCAATGAGAGCAATTGATTCTTGTGGAGGAAGAGTCACGATTGGAGATGTAGCGAGCAAGGGTGGACTCAAGCTCGATGAAGCTGAAAGGGCTCTGCAAGCTCTAGCAGCTGATACAGGAGGATTCTTAGAGGTATTTAGACTACAATTGAGGGGCATATTTATCTTTCAGTTGTTAAGTTGTGCATCAATTGAAATAATATCTTAGTGAAACTTGTAGGAAATGTTGACAAAATTGGTGCAAATTATACATTTGAAAAGAGTTTGTTGAAATTACAGAAAAAAGTTGATGCAAAAGCTGTATATGAGAAAACAGTTATAAATTCAGAGAACAATTTAAAACTGGATTATTCAGCATTGATTATTTACCATTGAATATAAACTGTGTGGTATTGATTCTATTGAATAACTTGCTTGTTGAATTGCAAAATGTTGCTTTGAGTATTTTCAATTTATGGATTTAGCCTTTAATTTTGGCTTCCTGGGAATGTTGGGGTGAATTACCTGCTTATTGAATATTTTGCAAAATGTTGCTTTGAGGATTTTCAATTTGTGGATTCAGCCTTTAATTTTGGCTTCCTTGGAATGTTGGGGAAGAATGTCTCTTGGCCTGAACTTTGGGATTGTTTCAACTTAGAATGAGTTCCTAACTTGCCCAAAACCCCGAATATAAAACATTAGAATACTCTCTCATGAAGACGTTTGTACTTTAAATTTAAAGGTTGTATCAATTTATCTCAGTGCTAGATATTAATGGGTTGTAGTATTCATTTCTGATACCTCTTTCTTCAAAGCTTTTCCAGACAATCATGTCTTATGTATGCCATTAACAATTGCCTCCGTCTTTTTTTTTTCCCTTATCAGCAAACAATTGCCGCCACCTTGGTTTGAAACCTTTTAATGGGCTTGGTGGTTGATGGGGAGGTTGGGAAATGTGTATGAAAAATTGGAGCAACTGCTAGGCTCATGTGGAATTGACAAATTAATTAAACTCCATCAAATTAATTAAACTCCATCATATGCATTCTAAATTATTTATATTAATTTGGCAAATTATACATTGAGACCCTTTATCTTTGGTACAAGGTGGTCACAATTAATCTTGACCATTGGATGTGAAATTGGGTGGCTGCATTTATACCATTGATCAAGCTCAAAGTTCGAAACTTTGTGACACACCCATGGTATCAGATTTCACAAGAATGGTTATAAGCAATTGTTGTGACTTCCTTGTTCTGAAGGTAAACGGTCTCATTGTACACAATCCCTATGAAGTTTGATCATATTTATCAGTGTTTTAAAACCCAGACTTGGGGGGCGCCTAGAATCAGTCCACTTGTTTGTGTCCCTTGAAGAGACACAAAAAATCCAAAAAAAATAGAGAAATTTAAGGAAATAAAAAAAATAAAATAAAAAATCATAAAAATAAGAAAACCTATAACTAAAACGAACATTGATGAAATTTTAATTTTATTCTTAAATACTTGATGAGATTTTTGACCATGCAATATTTTGGTATTAAAATCTCACAAATACAAGTTTTTGATTTTTTTTCTTCTATGGAATCTAAGCCTTAAATTTGATAAATAAAACAAAAATAGCCTAATTAAGAATTTCAGGGGGATTGAGCTAGGTTGCAAAAATCTTGGAAGAAGATACAGTTTGGTCAGGCCCTAGTTCCCAAAAAAAAACAGAAAAAAAAAGTGTGGCAACACCAAAGTTCTTTTCTTCTTGCTTAATCTGATGCGTGGAATTGATGAAGGATGGTAAAATGTTGCTGACAAGAAGTTTATGTGGACTCGCCCTACTGTTGCTTGAGTTGCTGCAACAACTCGGGTGAGTGCTACTACAGTATTGCTCCTAATGAGTTGGAGAACTTGCCAGACTCCGCAGGTTGCTGAGTTTGAGTAAAACTTGACGAGTTTTTGAATATTGATATTTATTCGAAAGAAAGCTGTAACTCTTTAGAAAAAGGATAAAAGATTCTAAACAGTGACAATGAACCATAGTTTCAAAAAGTGGACCGCCCAGCACCTGGGCGGCCGCCTAGGTGGATATCCTTGGGCGCCCGCCTGAACCTGTCTAGGCGGGGCGCCTAGGGCCTGCCGCCTACCCAGGGGTGAAAATGCGGCTCCTTGAGGGTATTTTTGGGTCATTTTTCTAATACTATAGGGACAAAATTGTGGGTTTTAGGTTCATTTGAAACCTAAAACCAATTAGAGGTTACTTTAGAGAGAGAAAACCCAATTTTTCTTTTTTTCTACTGGGCTGCCTAGGTTCTGGGCTCTCGCCTAGGCGCTAGTTGGCCTGGACCCCCCAACCACCTAGGTGCTGCCTAGTGCTTTTTGAAACACTTGAATGAACATAATGACATAAACTTTGGAGAAACTATTACAATATAAAAGAACACGACTCTATTCCTTGAAGATAGTGATGTGTATACCCACTGTCAATGAACATAAAGACTTAATCTAGAGAAGGCACAAAGAGCATCTTGTTTAGCTTGTTTGTGTACATGGCTGGACTGGTGCTTTCAGATTAGGTACTATGAAAAGGATAGGTGGCAGCCTGCGGCATAATGTCCTATTTCACTTATTTGTTTTTAATTTTGGAATGCTCTAGTCCAGGAAAATGTTTTTTCATTTTATATCTTTTTTTGTGGTTCAAATTTCATGTATTTTGTTTTTTTTTTTCAAATTTTCTCTTCTAATGTCTTTTTTTCTCTATTTGCATTTTCTATAAATGTTCTGTACTTGAATATCTATCTGCTTGTTTTATTTTGTGAACACGATTCTTTTGAAGATGGTGTTGGCAGGTCTCAGATGAAGGTGATGTACTTTATGTTTTCCCAAAAGACTACCGATCGAAACTTGCTGCAAAATCTATTAAGATGACAGTTGAACCATTTCTGGATAAGTCAAAGGTACCATCTGCTTTTTCAAATATCTTGAATGGCATATTTCTCTCTCCCTTTCCAAATTTACTTTGATGATAATAAAAATTTGGACAAAAAAACAGCCTAATCCATATTTTACCAGGCTGCAGCTGAGTATGTGATCAGGGTTTCCTTTGGGACTGCACTAATTGCGTCAATTGTTCTTGTGTACACAACAATCATTGCACTCATTTCTACTAGAAGGTATCTTGACATTTTCCTTCTGTTATTGGATTTCGGAATTCTGTTTTATAGGTGATTTCCCTACTTCGGTCTCTAGAAGCAACTTGTATAACAGGGCTACTTGTTACATTGTTATGTATGCATGTGCACTTGTGTACACATAATTGACTCATGGTTCAAAGTCATAGCTTAAGTTTTTGGGTCATCCTTACTGAACTTTTCAACTTGAATACACATAATTGACTCATGGCTCGAAGTCAAAACTCAAGCTTTTGGCTCATCTTACTGCATATGTTCAGTTGTAGTTTCTTGCTTCTTGCAATGGAAAAGTATCTGTGTTGATATTCTATTGACAATGAAATGTGTGTAACAGTGACGAAGATAATCGCGGGAGACGAGGAGGAAGATCCTACGACTCGGGGTTCACTTTTTTCATACGCCCATCTGATTTATTTTGGTAATGTTCTATTGACTTGATTGTAATTTTGTTCTTTTAGTAACACATATGTATTCTTCATTTATTTGGGGGATTTATGAAAGAAGAAATGTGAACAAAGTTGCCTTATTTATTGGCATTGTTTACTAATGCTGTTTTTCCTTTGAGCTGATGTTTATGGTGCAATTATGTATTTATTAGCCATCTACTTGCATCACTCGTTAATATGGTTTTTGTCACTTACATATGACTTTTCATACTGATTTGGTCATAAGAAAATCATGGTTTATGAAAACTAATTTCAACTTTGATTTCTTTCTTATCTTGCTTCACTAACTAGTGAATCTCATGATGGTGTCGATGGGCAATTGGAAATTTGAATTTTGTTTCCATAAATGTTAAGAATTAGTTCTTCAGAATTGGTCATCATACTAGGGTGGTTTTGTGCAATGCTGATGCTTTGATGTTACATTTTCTTGAAATATTACTTTGTCAAAGTACTAATACTCATGGAGTGAATGAGTGCTTTATGTTTCTCAATAGCATTGTAGACACCCTGATCCCGATTGAGGAAACTATGGGAGACCATAATGCCCTTGTCAAACTACCCCGGTATTTGAATCATTCATCCCATCTTGACCCATTTGTAATCAACTTTTCAACATGTTTGCACCTGAAACCAAGGAGGGGACTGAGTTCCCTACCCATATTTTCGAGTATAAATAAGCATAATAAAGTATGGAGTAAAAAGGCTATTTAGCTACTGATGAATAAGTAATTTTTAATTGCAATTAATAGCCTCGGCACGGAAAATCTTTGGTGGTTGATAATCTTACAGATATGTTGAAAACTTGTCCACTTCTGATTTCTTGTTTACTAAATCATTAGTACTGTCACTGTTATTTTTATGTTTCAAATAATGTTAATAGAGTTTCTAGTGTGTGATATCCTTGATTTGCAGTAGATCAACCTTACAAGCCTCTATTTCAGATGCTTTTAATTAAATTTTGGAGTACAATCCGTTTGCTATATTCTGATACTGCTGCAAATTTGTCAGGTATTGGGATCCGTACTACTATAGGAGGCCACGGACAAGAAAAGAAGATGGGATGAACTTTGTTGAATCTGTAATGTGAAAGAGTTCTGGTTGTTTTACTTCTGTTCCATATCTTGTCTTGGAAGTTTGACAACCTCTACCTGTCACTAATGCAGGTTTTTTCATTTGTATTTGGTGATGGAGATCCAAATCAAGGGATAGAAGAAGAGAGATGGAAATTGGTAAGACTTGAATAGTGGATGTATTTACATTTGGCTTTATGGCTGTTGTATTTAGTGCTTTGAATGTGTTTACAGCTCTGTGATTCCAGTCACACATTAAGTTTCTTTGGACATCATTGACTAACTAGAATATGCATTACCTATGTAACCTAGTTTATTGACATTAGGTAAAGATGGCTCAGGTTTAATTATCTATACTATATTATTAAACCACAATTAAGGAACGTACCAAGGCCAATTATTTACGGTAAATGCCCCTCCTAAAGACTCTCTTTCTATTTCTCTCTTCGTTTATTATTTTTTTTTGGCTTCCTAAAATGGCTTAAACATGAACCTATGTGAACCCAAATCTCTCTCATTAGGCATTTCCTATATTGATGATAAGTTGGAGATATTTAAGGATGGGTATCTCCAAATCTTTTCTATTTCCTTGAGAGAGAATAAATGTATATCCGAATTTTTCGGGGGGGAGATAATTTTGTGAACTTAGCTAACATGGGAAGCCTGCGGGTGATAAGTAGGAGAAATCTTAGGATAGTTCTCTCCAAATATTTTCTATTTGCTAAAGAGAAAATACATATATATCTCTCCTAATGTTAAGGGAGGGAGTGGCACGTTCTTGATCCTCTTTGAAGACATTGTTATTTTGTTTGGAAGAAAATCATCATCATCATTATCATCCAAGCCTTATCCAAATTATTTGGGGTTGGCTACATAAATCCTATTCTTTCATTCTCCTCTACCAAGGGCCATATCTTTAGTAAGACCAAAAGTCATCATATCTTTTCTCATTACTATTAATGGCCTTTTGGGTATTCTCATTGCCTTTTTAGAGCCTTCCACTTGAACCTTTTTTGGAAGAGAATATGTCTCTCAATCTTTAGGGGGAAAGTTTTATATAAGTCTTTAGGGAGAAATATACTTTAGAATATTAATTTGATATAATTTGAATTAACAAAAAAATACATTTATGATAATTATACTTATTATAATAATTAGCGACTATAATTAGAATGCATGTAAACTTAAGTATTTTTAATGATGATCATCATAGCCTTTTCCCAATTAATTGGGGTTGGTTACACAAATCTTGGTTTGTCATTCTGCTGTATTAAAGGCCATACCCAATATTGTCAGATTCGCTTCGGAGTCTTCTTCGGTTTGGTGAGAAAAATGAAACAATTCGGTGCTTCGGCTGATTCTGGGGAAGACTCTAGACTTTTTTTTTTTAATTTAATATAAATAAATTAGATATTTATATATCAAATATATAAAAATAATGGAAAAAATTTAAAATAAAAAATAAAAATAAATAAATAAATAAATAAAAAAATACTTTTATATAAGTATTTCTTTTCTGACCAAGGCAAACCCAAAGAAGGCCGAAGCAGTTCGAAGCGGCCTGAATCTGACTGAAGCGGCAGCACCACGCTTCTCTTCGCTTCAGTTTATGCTTAAAATTTGAAGGCTTCGGCCTCTTCGGTCGAAGTGAAGCGAATTTGATAGCATTGCCCATATCTTTAGTGAGGCCATAAGTCCTTGATGTTGTTGTTGATGATGATGATGATAGTAATTTATTATTATTAAATTATTATCATTAGTATTAGTAGTGGTGGTGGTGGTGGTAGTAGTAGGATATACTTATCATAATTACAGTTATTTAAATAATTAATAAGTGTAATTATAATGTAGGGAATTTTTAACTATACTTATTAGTACGTAATGTGTATAATGGTTTAATACAATTTTCATATTTGACTTGTCTACAAAAAAGGAGTACACTATAAAATTTATTATTACAATTATAATGTATTGTAATTAAATATTGCTAGTAAGATGCACTTGCTTTACATGTCTCATTAAAAAGTTATAAATAAAACATGATATTGATAACAATACTATGAGAAATATTATAGTAAATGAGAAAATACGACTACAGCTCTCTCTTAATGCCATGTGCTTAGTAAACATTTGTTTAGAGATATGAGTAAGTTGTTTGAGTTATTATGAAATAATACATAGAAATTTGATATGGAAAATTAAGTAATGTGCATAATATATTATTGCGATTATAGTTAATTCAGTCATAACTAAATCCAGTTCTCTTATAATAAATTCATTAATATCATATATTTGTTATGATTAAATTATTCATAATATAAGTAATCATCATCACCATCGTCATCATCATCATCATCATAGCCTTTTCTCAATAATTTGGGTCGGCTACGCGAATCTTAGTCCGTTATTCTGCTCTATTAAATGCCATACCCTTAGTGAGACCATAAGTCCTCATATCTTTTCGAACTACGTCCAACCATGTCCTTTTGGGCTTACCCCTTGCCCTTTTCAATTCTTCCACTTGAACTAACTTGCACGTCCTAATAGGTGCTGTATTGGGTCAGTGCCACACATAACCAGCCCACCTAAGTCTACTATTTCTCATCTCCTCGCTCATTGGTGCCACACGTAAATTTTTTCGAATGGATTCATTTCGAATTCATCTGCGAACAACATGCACCATGGTACCTCATCCTGTAGGTGCCTAGTTAAGTCGTTCATAACTAAAACAATTCATAATATAAGTAATACTAAAATAAAAATATTATTATGAAATTGCAATCGTAATTTTAATATTATTAATTAATGTACAATAAATTAATTATGCTTGTATGATTAAACATATTCCTAATATTTAATCAGGATTCTAATTAGTTTTATGACATACCTTGCATATTTAAAAAATGCTCACAATTTTTAACTCCATAGAAATGTCATTATAAAATCACAATAAACAATTATAATTTTAATAATAAACTAATAATACTATATAATTATCATCATTTTGGTATGATTATTAAATAGAATTATAAATAGTCTCTAATTGACATAATTAAATTAATTCATTAATTATATTATTTAGTATTTTATTAATAAATTTGTATCATCATCATCAAATAAATAGAATTATAAATACTCTTTTGAATTGTAAATACTCTTTCTAATTTACATAATTAAATTAATTCATTAATTATATTATTTAGTATTTTAGTAATAATTTTGTATAATCATCATCATCATTCGAGTTTAATCCCTACTATTTGGTTATTAATAAATTTTTATAATATATGAAAATTAGTTTCAATAATGGTAAGGAGCTTTTATACATTCCATAAATACATATTAAGAGTGTGATTCTAAGGAGAAAATTTTGCATTATTTATTATTTGTGATTTCTAGCAAGAAAAAACATTTATTCTTTTAAAAATTGAATTTCCTTCATATATAAAATAATTGAATACATCCTGCAGAAGGTTTCGAACAAAAGACATCCATGCTTCTCATCCATGAAATTATTATTGGCTAGAATCAGTATACCATAAACCAATGGATAATGGTACACTATAAGGAAAAGACATCTTCAAACCTTCACGAGTGCTATTCCCTTAAGGACTGGTTTTCATTGGGCTCATAAAGCTCAATATGGTCATTGGAAAGCCAATGATACTAGGTTAAAGAGATTGAACCGTTGATTCACCAAAAGGCCAACAACCACCATTGATCTTTCATCATCTAACCTTTGTTCAGTTTAGGCAAAATTGCATCCTAGCTCTATTGCTGGAACATATAACTCAGTTAGAGAGAGATTGCATGGATGTAATAATAGATGTGGCTTAGAGAGAAATTTCACATACTTGTATCTCCCATGGGAGAGAGAGACTTTGACTAACTTGGTAGCTTATGGAATGAGAGAGAGAGATTATCCATGCCTTAAAT